GATGGGCGGCCGGTGGAACAACGAAACCTTCTCATCGTGAGTTACTAAATTTTTTTAAATTAAGGGCAGTTGTACACTGGAATATCAAAAATTCAATAGGTTTTGTAAATGGCCCATATATGTAGCAATTTCGAACTGGAATTACTTTCATATGAAAGATTAAGATAAGAAATTTAATTATGTGCTTGTTCGAGGTCAGAACATTGAAATTTAAATTAGCTAATGAAGAAACACTGATTATATATATATTTGTATTAATATTTAAAGAAAATTTCTTCTTACGTTATCGTTCATGAGCCAGATTAATTGATGAAAAGTGTTTTTCTAACTGTTTCATCTCTTTCTTACTTTTCTTTAGCTATTGAGACCTCTTTCCAAAGTATAATGCGATATATAAGAACTGTTCTGTTTTTTTTCTTCTTATCATTTGTTTCTTGAATAAAAGGCATATTCTCAAAACTGAAAGCTCCCGCGAACACCATGATTATGCCAGTCAGGGAGTTGGACGTATTTGGAGGATATTTGATGCATTGTCCCCCGCTAATGAGAAAAGTTTCCTTTATCCATGAACACACGTCACTTTTGAAAGAATGAGAGGAAGCAAGTTCAAGTCCATCACAATTTGTATGTTGTCAAGAAAAAATCTAAATATGTTTATTAAGATAACGACAAAATGTTTTTATGTTCATCAATTAAACAAATATTATATACAACAAAATCTAAAATTGCTATGAATAGGCTCTTGGGCTCCTTTTTCTCTCATGAATTCAGTTAGGCCTATAAATAATTAAAGATGTATTTTCATAGATTCATGTGTTCTATTTATATGATTCTTCAATCTGGCAGCGCCGAGGATACCTCTACCTGATAAACATAAGGGAGGAAAATGAAGGGAAGTACACCTGCGTTGCCCGTGACCAGTTCGGACGAACCAAGGGTCGAGTACATGCCTGGCTTTATTTCACTGATCCACCTCAGATTGACATTACTACAGGTAGGGCTTAGGATCAACGCCTTTGATGCATGTCAACATTCCCCATAGTCGTGTTAGCAGGGGCACCAATTTTTTTTTCATGACCGGGGGGGGCGAATTGCGAGTTAAAATCCGTTGGTATCACCAGTGGCGTAATGAGCAAAAACGTTTTTTGGGGGGAGACAAATAAAAGGAAAAAAAAGCATCAACACCACTATTACGTGTTACATGCAGGCCCCGCTTAACTTTTACCAAAGTGTGGGGAGGAGGAGGGGAGCCCCCGGAAGGTCATGAGTTTCAGGCATTTAATTACGGTCAGATGATCATATTTTGACACCTTATTTGTAGAACTGGCAGGTCATTAGTTTGTGTGGGGTCCTGAGGCGGAGCCCCCAAAAGCTTTATAGGCATTAAATTATGATCAGATGAGCATCCAGGGTGTTAGGGCCCCTGTTGGGGTCTTGGATGCAGAGCCCCCGTAGGCTAAGGGGTTTTAGAGATTTAATTAAGGTCTGATGATCATATTTTGACACCTTATTTGTAAAACTGGCAGGTCATTAGTTTATGTGGGGTCCTGGAGGGGGAGCCCCAAAAAGCTCTATAGGCATTAAATTATGATCAGATGAGCATCCAGGGTGTTAGGGCCCCTGTTGGGGGTCTTGGATGCAGAGCCCCCGCAGACTAAGGGGTTTTAGACATTTAATTAAGGTCAGATGACCATATTTTTGACACCTTATTTGTAAAACTGGCAGGTCATTAGTTGGTGTGGGGTACTGGAGGGGGAGCCCCCAAAAGCTCTATAGGCATTAAATTAGGATCAGATGAGCATCCAGGGTGTTCGGGCCCCTGTTGGGGTCTTGGATGCAGAGCCCCTGCAGGCTAAGGGGTTTTAGACATTTAATGAAGGTCAGATGAGCATATTTTGACACCTTATTTGTAAAACTGGCAGGTCATTAGTTGGTGTGGGGTCCTGGAGGCGGAGCCCCCAAAAGCTCTATAGGCATTAAATTATGATCAGATGAGCATTCAGGGTGTTAGGGCCCCTGTTGGGGTCTTGTATGCAGAGCCCCAGCAGGTTATGGGGCTTTAGACATTTAATTAAGGTCAGATGAGCATATTTTGACACTTCATTTGTGACAGATAACTATTCTTTTTTTTCTTTCTTTCTATTATAGTAATAATTACTGCTATGAGAGACATGGAGTAATTTCAGTTTGGGGAGGTTACATCGTGCTATCGCCCCGAGGCGTGCCGAGGGGTGATGGCACGGTGTAACCCCCCCCCCCCAAGAGCCTATAAAAACAACTACGCCTCGAATATTAAAGCAGTCATTATAACTTTTATATACCGAAAAGGGTCATAGAATACATGTGCGACTTACCAATCATGGTTATCAAGTTTGTTTACGCTATCGAGACCTATTGGCCCGAATTCACAAAGGAGGTTTGTCGACAAACCTAGGTTTATATATGTACGTCATATGACGCGTTTTGACGCGTTTTTTTTCTCACAAACCTAGGTTTGTCGACAATCCTCCTTTGTGAATCCAGGGTGTCTGCTCACGCACCACTCGAGTTTGTGTGCCAAAATCCTTCCCATTGATATTGCACGCATATATGTAAAATGCCAAAACTGATCAATAGTTTTGTGTAGAGTGCCCTAGGGCTTTTTTCTAAAGACTATTGACCAGTTTTAGCATTTTACGTTTTACGTTACGGAGGAGGCGAGTGGGTATCACGGTGTAACCAAAGGAGTAGAGATTTTTTACAGTATTTACTTGTACATTTTGAAGGATATTATGCGAGAAGGGCGTAGCTACCGAGCGAAAAGATTTTTGCATTTTGATTAGTCTAAATGCTGCACTCTTGGACCTTCCAGAGCCTAAAAGTACGTTGCAGTCTTTAGTCAGTATTTGCTTTACATTTTCTTTTTGCACTTTTTCAAATTTTCCGGTATGGATGTGTCCCCCTGCCCCCCGGAATCGACGCCCCTGCGTAGTAGAAACCTAATACATATACTTCGACTACTACCATCACTACTACTACTACTACTATTCAACTATTACAGTACTGCTCAGTGGAGGATGGGGGGGGGGGGGAGAATCAGCCGCAGGCCTCCCCTTTTTGTGAGGACCTGACAAGAGAGAATAGGGAAAGAGATAGAACGATGGAAAAAAGGAGAAAGGAAAGAAACGTAGATAGAATGAGAGATAGAAAAGGAGAAAGAAACAAATCACAAATAAGAAAATCATGAAATTAGCTGAATTGCTACAACTCGAGAGCGACTTGTCCATCGCACACGCTGGCTTTGGCCTCCCTTTTGGAAATTCCTGGATCTACCCCTGCTTCTACTACTACTTCTACTACAACTAACTACTACTTCTGCTGCTGCTACTACTACTACCGCTACTACTACTACTACTACAACTACTACTAGCACCCCCGATCCTTCTACTACTACTTCTGCTAATAATTCCTCTACTGCTATACTACTACTACCGCTGCTGTTTAATGATTCTACTACTTCTGCTACTATTACCACTACTACTACTACTACTACTACTACTACTACCTCTACTATTAACTACTAATACTACTACAACTACTACTACTACTGCTACTACTACTACTACATGTACTAATACTAGAACTAACACCACTGCTACTGCTTTACGTACTGCTGCTACTACTACCGATCCTTCTGCTACTACTTCTACTACTATTTCTAATACTGCTATATTTCTACCACCGCTGTAGAGGTGTCGTGGACGAGTGGATATGTCACCGGACTGTGGATCACAAGTTACGCGGTTCAAGTCCCACCGCGGCACTAATGTCCTTTGGCAAGACATTGATCTACATTTGCCACTCTCCACCCAGATATTTAATGGGTACCCGGTAGGATGCGAAAGCTAATGTGCTTAGATTAGCAAGTGTGCGCTTGTAAAAATGACGCCTGGCTGGAATGCTCCCCAGTGAGTGGAGAATGTGCATACATTGTGTGCAGGTAAGCCTGAATCCGATGACCGGGGGAATAATAAATATACCTGTATATATATATATATATATATATATATATATATATATATGTGTGTGTGTGTGTGTGTAAAGCGCTTTGAGAGGTCCTTCGGTCCTGAAAAGCGCTATATAAGAACGAGCTATTATTATTATTACTGGTTACTGCTGCTACTACTACTTTATAAGAACGAGCTATTATTATTATTACTGGTTACTGCTGCTACTACTACTTCTCCTCCCTATACTACTACTACTTGTACTATTGCTCCTACTACTATTAAATCAGTCTCTACTTTTATTAAATTGTATACATGGTTAAGGAAAGCTAATAGTATGTTTATATGATATAAATATTTGTTCACTCAATGGGAATAACTCGCTACTAAATAAGAAGAAGAAGAAGAAAAACATGAAATAAGCTGAATTGCTAGAACTCGAGAGCGACCGTTGGCTAGCGCACACGTTGGTTTCGGCCTCCCTTTTGGAAATTCCTGGATCTACCACTGCTTCTACTACTACTTCCACTACTATTACTAACTACTACTACATCTGCTATACTACTACCAGTACTAATACTACTGCTATTGCTTGCGTTCTACTACTACTGCTTCTTCTACTATTTTTATACTATTTTTACTACTGCTATACTACTTCTACTACTACTACCAGCCTCTACTATTATTAATTTATAAACATAGTTAAGGAAAGCTAATATTAGGTATATATATTATATATATTTGTTCACTCAAAGGGAATAACTCGCTACTTATTTATTGAATGTCATATATTGATATGCTGTAAAGAGCTTTATGATCACTTCTCTAAGTAAAATGACCACAAGTACTTTCCTGTTGTTGATTTATTTCTAGTTTGCGGCACGATTACGTTCTGGCAAGAGAGCAAAGCTCAAACTACTCCCTCCCCAGTGGTAGTTGATCGCTCCGTGGTCTCCGCTGTCGATGAACCTTCAATCGACTGGAGCAGCATCGATGACACCGCAGCAGGCAGAGGCTCAGGCCGTGTGGTCGGAGGAAATACAGCAATTCATGGTTCGGCGCCCTACATGGTCCGAATCTTGGAATACAGGCCTGAGAATGCACGGGATCCATGGACCTTCATCTGCGGTGCGACACTCCTGGACCAGAGGTGGATTTTGACTGCTGCGCATAGCATGTTTGACAAGCATGGAAACTTGATTCAAAAGGAAAACATGAATTTATTTTTTGGTGATTATGATTCATACCTTACAGAAGAGTCTGAAAAGAGTCGACAGCCAGCGGAAATTATTGTGCATGAGGATTATGACAAGACAAACTTTGATAATGACATTGCCCTGATACGGATCGACCCACCACTGTGGGAGTTTACTCCTTACATTCGTCCTATATGCCTGGCTCCTAGTCTTCTGGCCAGTCGTATCATGGAGACCAATAACAACGGACGCGTGACCGGATGGGGACAAGAGTCTCTTAAAAGTTCAACCAGTCGGTTTATGAAGGAGGTGGAGTTACCTATTGTTGACCGGCAAACTTGCGAGGAGAGTGTTGACGAAGATGAAGGAGAGTTTACTGACAACATGTTCTGTGCTGGTTACCCCATTGCGCTGCATGACGCTTGCAGTGGTGATACTGGGGGTCCATTTGCTTTCCGTCATGATGATGGACGGTGGTATCAACTGGGTATTGTAAGCTGGGGCATCGGGTGTGCTTTTGAGGGGGAATACGGGTTCTACACAAGCGTCTCTAGATATCTTCATTGGTTACGTTCTAAGAATGTAACAGTTGCATATTCTTCGAACGTGGCGAGACGGTTCAACGAGAGTCAACCCATTGAGGCACTGGCCTTTACAGTTAGATCTCCTAGCACTTTGACTGTTGCAGCAGGTAGCGCAGTCGACCTCGAGTGTTTCCCTAACAGAGGTGATGCGTCTGTTCAGTGGTTCATAAATAACAGACCAGGTAACATGTTACTCTCTACATACCTTATCAGAATACATGTTTTGATTTCAAACAGTACTAGATGGGTTTAGTAACAACACACACAGGTGATCCGACATTCGGTCCATGCAGGCATGCAGCGACATGTCCGTCAAATGTGTAGGGTATTGCAGACACCTCACCAGACCGACACCAGCTACACCAAGTGCAGACGAATACAAATTTAAATTACCCCTAATTATGGCACCCCAAAGTGGTCGGTTTGGAGTCACTGACAGACTGACAGTGCCTGAAGTTTTTTTGGTTATAGTATTAAGCCCAGATGTAAAGTGATAAATTCGTCTATTATGCCAACATTTACTGAGGAGGAATTGACGCCGTTGCATCTGACATACTCCCATAATTATTGCGTTTTAGTTTTTAAAGAAATGCTAAGTCTGGTTTTGTTTCTTTAAGGAAAGTTCTTGTACAAGTGTGAAAGGTGTTTTGGAGCATTTCTCAATGTTTTGTATCCCAATAAAGCAGTGTCCAATGAAAAAAAGATTGGATTTGAAGTGTATTCATGCATCGAATATGACTAGAAATAATTCACAATAATTGTGGGTCAGAGTCTAATGCTAAATGCTGTGTGGTCCCAAGCACCCATGTCTGTGGTCATTGATTTTAAATGTTTGTGATTTTAGTCAATCTGTCATAATTTTTGATGATTCAAAAATTAATGCCGCACAATAATTGTTTCTTTCTACAACATTTTAACCGTCCAAAATAACTTCGAGATTGTAATCGCATAACAGGTACTCAACTTTGTCTTTAAAGTTTGATGCAAAATCATGATAAACAAATATACCATGTACTGAGAGGCTCTAGTTGAAATTATGGATAGAAGTGGCAGGAAAAGCACTATATTCTGAGGGGCGTAGCCACGAAGACAATAGTATAGTATTAATGATAGCCTAATAGTCCACTCCAAATTTTATTAAACCGAAACGGAAATTCTTTTTGCCCAATTGATCGTGAGCCCGGCAGCCACTGAGCAGCGCCAGATCGACGTTGCTCTATCCCATATTGTTGAACGCCAAACAAGGTAGCAACAACTCCCATCTTTTAACGTCTTTTGGTATGACGCGGCCGGGGTTCGAACCCACGACCTCCCGGTTGTGTGGCGGACGCTCTACTGACTGAGCCAACACTCCGGTATAATGACTGCTTTGAGAGAAATAGTTGTTTTTATACGCTCAAGGGAAGGTTAGAATTGTGCTATTACCCAAGGCGTGCCGAGGGTGATAGCCCAATTGTAACCTTCCCGAGAGCGTATAAAAACAACTATTTCTCGAATATTAAAGCAGTCATTAATACTTTTATATGCCAAAAACAAAAAAATTAAAAAGAAAAAAGAAAAAAGAAAAAAACTTTTTTCGAAGATGGGATTCGATCTCTTGCGTACAAAAGGTGATGTAAATAAAATCAGCGCCATAAACCGCTCGTCTATCGCGCTCTGTTACCATTCATAGCATTTTTTTCTTATATATACATTAAAATGGATTGAAACGGCTTCGCGTGGTGGATGCTTCGCGGCTGCTCCATTAAACAGGCCCTTCTTTTACTTTTGCAATGCATATTGGCACGAATTTAGATCAAGATCTATCGGCAGATGTTGTTTTTTTGTTTTTGAAAGTTTATTATCGTCTTCATGTCAACAATGCAAAATAAAATTGTCGGTAAGATCGATCGAGATTCAATTGTATTGAAATTACCGACCAATTCTTCGCACACGTACGGTATCCTCGATCGCTCAGACCATTTTTAACATGTAAACCTATGGGGTAACCATGGACACTGACCTATTTTCCCAATAAGCATGGTTATTGGGATTTTGAACTGTTTTTTAACCATGGTTACCGGGAATTTTCGGGAACAGTTAAAGTTTATGAATGCAATTTCGACCAATCAGATTACTGGATTACTTAAGTGAGGTATATAATGCTATTTATGTCGCCGAGGAATCCATAATTTCACTCGTGGCTTGAAATAGTGCATGATATATTTGTTTTATATTTTTCAAACCAACCTTCATATAAATAATAATGGTAATAATGTTTCCTGTCACTGAAGTAGTGAAGAGTGCAGTGAGAGCAGCACAGTTTTGCGACCGTGACCGATAGCACATTGATCTTGATCGATCGCATATATATGACGTCATCCATGGTATAGTGGCATGGTATAGTGCACTATACCATGGCTGACGTCACGGTTACATCATAGCAATGTTATGTTTGGTCACATGATGCTTTGTTGACCAATCACTGAACAGGATTTCATTGATCAAAAATATAATACCTTTCATAGTACCGGGAAATTAATTGAACCATAATACTATGCCCATTGCCCCTTCATAATGATTAGTGTTGTATATAAACATTTGATGTTCCAATCTGACTTTAAAAGTCATACAATCCTTTTAATTTCTCTCTTGTTATTCGCAGTGAGAAACCTTGTGGAAGGAGTGCGTTTTCTACCTTCTGGACTAGTCTTACACTTTGACGCCATAGAGAATAGTTTCTCTGCAGTTTACTCGTGCGAGGCCAGGGTCAATGATGAGGAGGGAGAACAAGTCATCAGGGCAAACTTCCAACTACGTAAGTGGCTCGGTGGAACCAAAGCGAATAAAGACAGATAGTTTTGATACGCATGCACGGTCATAGGTTAAATTTAAGTTCCGAATAGACAGGTTCGTAGTTAGTTTTGTTACATAATGACCCCCAAATATCCACAGTTTTGTTACACATAGACACGTCCCAGTGTGTGCATTTCGGAATGATCACTGCCAACGTCAAGAAGGTGGTTCTAGAACAACTACCCCCTGGACATCCACACCCGGATAACCACCCCCAGTCAACTACCCCCTAAGACAACTACCCCCTAGGTCAACTACCCCTGGACAACTCGTCCGCAGGGGGGGGGGGGTGTAGTTGTCCTGGGGGAGAGTCGTCCTAGAGGGTGGTTACCCTTGGGGGTAGTTGTCCTAGAGGGTAGTTGACTGGGGTGGTTATCCGGGTGTGGTTGTCCAGGGGGTAGTTGTTCTAGAACCACCTTCATGACGTTGGCAGTGATCATTCCGAAATGCACACAGTGGGACGTGTCTATGTGTAACAAAACTGTGGATATTTGGGGGTCATTATGTAACAAAGCTAACTACGAACCTGTCTATTCGGAACTTATATTTAACCTATGATCGTGCATGCGTATGGACGTCCAGGGGTAGGTGTCCGGATACGATGGAGGTGCTTCATGAATGCCCTTTGTTTGCCCCCTGAAAAGAATATTTACACCTGTATCAGAGAGTGTGCTTTCGGTGAATAAATTATATGCATAACTTTCATGAACACGAATACAGTATTCGTCTTGATGGGTTATAATATTTTTATAACAAATGAACAAAACTAGCGACCAATTACCGATAAAAATTAAATGTCCAATATCTACAAATTTAAACCTATAAACCCGGGGCCGAAGGCTAAATTTGTTTTCCTATGGAATATCTGTAGTACTTGCATATGCGCAAATGGTCATTTTCCTCGACGACATAAATATACGAATTATTTCGTCAACTTAGTCAGCATCATAGCTGATATATTTTAAAGGTACTATGTCCCATTTGCAGGCCCAAAAAATGAAAAAGTTAAATTCCAACTGCATTTAAAAGATAATACTAATTTAGAACTTCCCTAAAAAAGGTGGGGCTTGAAAATGTCTTCAAGTGGGAAAATAACGACTATTAGTTGTCAAATCGACTTTAGGGCTATAGAGCCCAAAAGTAATAGTCTTGATTTTCAGACAATTGTACCGAATGGTCATACGTTTTATGCTGTTCAAAGATTCAATCAGTTTCATCTTGGCCATCACAAGAAGTGGGTTATTGATGTAGACAAATGCTCATGTACCCTTTACAACTCTGTTCATGTATGTTATTACCAAAGAAGAAAAAACGCCAGTCAGTCACTCAATAGTGTCTGACAGTGAAGTCTAGCAAGTAAACGGGTTTCCTTGCATAATTTGAATATGAGGACACTGCTAACGTTTAAGTTTCCCAGATAAGACATACATGACATATTCATAATTCCTGCAAAGTTCTACCGAATTTGAGGTTGGCTGCAAAAGGGACATAGTACCTTTAATGCAGGCGCGGAGATAGGATCTTACTTTAGGGAGTGCGGTAGTGGGCAAGCGAATCACTTAAAGAGCGCTCATTAGGGAGTGTGGGTGATAGGCCTCCCGCGCGAAGCGCGGAAGCTTAGACGTTTCCTTAAATTATTAGGAAAAGAAGACGATTTATTGTACCGTTCTCGACTGTTAATCCTAGTCTAGATGAATCCCCCCCCCCCCCTTCAACGCGAAAGCTTTGAAGTTTCATTAAATTATTATGAAAAGAAGACGATTTGCTGTACCGTTCTCGACTGTTAATCCTTGTCTGAATTCAGTTTCTCCTCCCGCGCGAAGCGCGGAAGCGCGGAAGTTCTGACGTTTCATTAAATTATTAGAGAAAGAAGACGATTCGTTGCACCGTTTTCGACTCTTAATAAGCCCTAATTGTCTGAATTCAGTTTCCCCCTTTAGCGCGAAAGCATTGACGTTTCCTTAAATTATTAGAGAATGAAATCGTCTAAATGAAGTTTCCCCTTCCGCGCGGATTTTTTTTTGGCATTTCATCACAATATAGAGAAAGGAAGACGATTCATCGTACCGTTGGTGACTCTTAAACCTTGTTTGAATTTAGTTTCCCCGAAAATGTTAAACCTCTGATTTCTTAAGCTGATATTATAGGAAAGTGAAACTTCGAGAAAAGTATTGTAGTTGTAGCCACTCTCGATGTCGTCACAGCGGATAAAAAGTCACAGTTCGTATAGGGAAAATAACTTGTCGGCCGACCGACAATATACATCTTACCGACTTCAAACTTCTGCATTGATATAGTACACGAGGATCAAGCAAGAATACCGACACAGATGACCCGACATAGCAACATATTCACCCGTGTCCTTCTTGCTCCCTCGACGAGACGACTCCACCCAACAACCCCCTTCTCTCTTTTACTCCCACTCCTCCTCTTTCAGGCTCTTACCTCCCCTCTCTCTCCTCTCTTTCGCCCCCGTTTCTTTTGTCTCCCTTTTACCCTTTATTCTTCGTTTATTTCCTCTTCTTTCTTTTCTTTTCTTTCCTCTCCTCCCTCTTTTTCTTTTTTCTCTTTCTTTCTTCTCTTTTCTTTCCTTTCTTTTCCTTTTTTTTCCATTTTTTCCCTTTTTTTTCTTTTCTTTTTCTTTTTCTTTTTTCTTTTCTTTCCCTTTCCCTCTCTTTTTTCCCCTCCCCCTTTTCTCTTTTTTCCCGACGGCAGCGCAATTTTACCCACAATAATCTGACAGGTGGGGGGGGGGGTGTCGCACCCCCCCCCCCCCCTTTGGAGACGCCCCTGACTCCATGAATTAAAGCACTGACAGATCAGATACAATCTTCTCTCTCTCTTCTTCCCAGCTATGGGTGGTACTATAGTTTTTTTTTCAAATATTACTCGACCAATCACCTTGCACCTTTGAAAGTCGTGTGTGGTTATATATTCTGGCGTAATTTTGTATGAAATGATCATATCAGTAATCATTTGTCATCATTGACTAAAAAGTAGCCTGGACACATATCGGTGAACAACATTATATTGCTCATTAATCATGAGTCTATGACAATGCCGAATACATTTTTGGTCAATCCGATGTGAAATTCAAGTGTTAAAATGCATTTTCGTAGAAAGGTTTCACAACAAATATTTTTAATTAATTTCTATTTCTTAAATTGGAACATTCCCACGCAATATGCACTCATATTTTAAAGTATAATATTAGTGATTATACTAATGTATGAGAATCGAATCCACTTGGAATCAAATCCTCAAGGCGCACATGTGAAAAAAAAACAAGAAAAGAGAATACATGCTCAACAGCGTAAATACAAACCTAAAAAGTACAGTTCCATGAAATTCTAAAAATTAGTTTTTATTGATATTTAGAGAAGATAGCGGAGTAATTTGACTGTTTGTTCATGAACAGATTATGACATTCTAAAGCAGCCTTCAATATTACAAACTGAAATTGCGTTTCTATCAAAAAATCAAATTGTATGTTAGCCTCTAATTACTGTATATTTCTATTTTTTGTATTCAGAGGTTACTGGAGCTTGATGATGTTCAGTCCGACCCAACTCGACAATGCAATAATCATGGATGAAAGGAGAGATGTTGTGTTTTTCTACTTCTATTCCTTAAATATCTACTTAAATTTCGAACCACTGTATGTTTGGTGTGATTAACAATTGTTGGATATAACGATTAGTGATTTAAATTATAAATATATGCCCACAATTATTTTGTACTTCTTAAAATTGAGCCAGGAGCGTAAATGTTGAGAGAAACACCGAATTAAAAAAAAAAAAAAATTCTTCTCATGAATTGCTAATCCTATCCTCCAATGATTTTGGATAGTAAGAACGTTCGATTTATTCTCAAAATATATATTTTTTTAATTGAAACAAAACTATTATTGATCCCAGATTATTAAATCTAAATTATGATATCTAATTCCAAATAAATTTATCATAGATCTATCTTATTAGCTTTGTCCTACTTTGTGTATTATTGATATGCATGTCCATTTTGAAAGAATCTCTTATTCAGCCCACAAACTGCGAATGTAGTTATAAATATTTTTTTCATTAACTGTTTTAAATAAATAAACGATTGCGTGATCAAAGACTTTATGATTAAACTCATTTGAATGACAACCGTGTTAATTGTAGTTTTGATAGAATAAAATTATACTGACGTAAAGTTGTGAATGACAATTTACTCATGTATACAATGCTATAAAAATATTTAGATAAAGTTATCGAATACGTCGACAACTTTTTTACAAAATATGACAATATCATAATCAAAACCTCTGAATTGCGATTTAGATTTCTTGTTTTTGTTTTAATGAATGAAATGCAGTGCATTGTTTTACTAGTGTCATAATATGTTATGTAATAAAATATACTGTTAAAGGGATACATGATGACACTGTGCGCCTATTTACATATGACAGGCTATATATATACAAATGATAACCTCCGTCTAAATTATCCAATTACACGTGTCCAAGCCGGGGATAGGACTTTCACGGTAGCAGCATCCAAAGGGTGGAATAATCTCCCCATGTCCATCAGACAATCTGCCTCTATCGATATTTTTAAGAAGGCTCTGAAAACTCATCTCTTTACATGAATTCTCCTCTATGTTTAATTATTTAATTTAATTAATTGAATTTAATATTTTATATGGAATATCTAATTGTAGCCTTTAATTACTACATGTAGTAAAGACCAATAATATTATTTGATGTTAGCGCTCTGAGCCTTATGGGAATGGCGCCCTAAATGTTTATTGTATTGTATTGTATCGTATATATATATATATATATATAAACAGTAACAAACACTACGTATGCATGCAACCATACATCTGCGTTTCATTTAGAAAGCTGTATTTTAAAACACAATATAAAAAATAATGTAAGCAAGCATGTTTTTTATCACCTGACGAAGTGTTGCAGCGGCGCACGAAACGTCGTGATCTTTTAGATTCCTTATTGACCACATTGCGAGACAAACGAAAATCACTAGCGATATTATTTTCGATACTACATCCGCAATGAGTAATATATTTAGCAAATGAAATTTTCATGAATTTTTACCACTGGGCCATTGTGGCTATTGTAGCCTCGTTTAAATGATTTATTTTTATTTCTTAAATAGATTATTTCTATTTGTCTGTCTGCATGGTGGGAAGGGGGGGGGGGGTAGTAGTGTGTTTGGTTGGATGGGGTTACAACTGATTTTATTTTTGTTTTATGTAATGAAAAATGTTTTGAATTCATGTCAAGGAAAAACAACTGTATTTTATTTCTTAGATTGATTTGTATTGTTTGGAATCAATAAAAAAACTATAGACAAAAAAAAAAATGTATATGTGTGCGCGCGCGTGTGCGTGTGTGTGCTTGTGTGTGTTTGAGATATAGAGAGATAGAGAGAGAGATGGAGAGAGAGGGAGAGAGAGAGAGAGAGAAAGAGAGGGATGAAAGGGGGGGGGGGTCTTTGTATGAAAGAGAATGACACGGTAATATTTCTTTACATTATGACGATATACAGATTTCATTAAACCAACTGAAGAACTTAAGGATTGTTTAAGATCCAGCCCCCCTCTCCATAGAATGGACTGAAGATATTAATCATGAGCCTAAACCACTACCCATTTTCTAGTATAAAAATATATGGCGCCATTAATATACGTTCACAGATTTATCTGAAACAACGGGGGACAATTAAGATATTCATGCGTGGGTCGTTCGCGAAGTAGGCAACTTGGCGATCACTACATGGAGTGGTCAAGTGTAAACGTCATCAATAACTATTCCTAGAGTTTCCAAATTTTTCGAAAGAGCATCAAAATTAATGTCCAAATTTCGAAAACCGATTGAATATGGTAAGTATTGGCTGAGATATGACTATCAGAAGAAATAGATTTCAATGGGAAATCACTGTTTTTTTGCTCTGGTTCGTAATGTTATAAACCAGAGTAACATAAAAGGGATTTCCTATTGACCTCTTTTTATTGGGATGGTCATATCTCCGCCAATAACTGTATGGGCTAGGTCCACTTCAAAAATAATTTGCTTTTTAACCCTAATAAGGCCGGGGGTATTATGCCCCCCCCCCCCCCCTCCACGATTTGTCCGATTGCTCGGGAAGGCATATGGATGGCGCGCCGCCGCTCGCTGACTTTTTTCTTTCGAGTCTTGCGCATCTTAAAAAAAAAAAAAATGAAAATCGAACGTACAGTTACAAGGTCACGTAACCTTTTGTCTTTGCATGTCACTCGCTCATTTTTGTGATTTGTGTACAAAAATGTCATTTTTCAAAAAATAGATTAAACATTGGTTATTGGGTCTTTTTTAAAGTTTAGGTGGTTGTTTTGGGAGTCAAAATAGTTTAATTGTAGTAAGAAATGAAATAAAACAACAAAAATGATAAGTTAAAAAAACAATGAAATACATAATAAATTATCATAACAAGAGATAACATAAGGAATAAGCTGGCTCTTCCAAAAAAAATTGTCGTATTTTTATTCCAAATGGTCCAATGAATATATGTAGTGAAAAAGAATGTTTAGATAACAGTTCGTATGTGAGCATGCGCCAGGTATAAAAGTTCGTAGGAAAAAAAAGTTCGCGACAAAGCAATGGCCTCGTAACTGTGAGGCTCTAGGATCAAAACCGTGTCGATGTGCTATATTAGTCCCCTTTTGTGGGGGCATTAATCCTCATTACTGTCATTTATGACTTAAGGGCGTAGGTCCCCTATTTGATAAGCATAGAAGCATACACATGCTTTAGCAGTCGCGCAAAACACACATTTGCAACTTATTATTCAATAAAATCTGAGAATGTATACTTTTATCTAGATCTATTATATAATTCTTAAAATATTTTTTAAAAATTCCGTAAATTGGGGTAAAAAAAAATATTCCACCTATATGAGCGACAGTGTATTAATAACAAAATATTGAATACAAATTCATAACAGCAATAAACAATAAGTAAGAACGTGTATAAACATACATACGAAGTATTTGGTATCCTCGTAATAGAAGAATTGTTTGTTTGTTTGTTTTGCTTTGCTTTTTCATTCAAGAAAACGTTGTTGCAAAATTATAATATTTTAATTTAATATTATAGCATAGACAGTAATTAGTTTTTAAATCCGATGAAAAGTAACTATTAGCATATTTCGGTAAGTATTCCTTGAAAAAGGCAACATATACTTTGAGAGTTCAATTGTTATATACATATTTACAACAACAAAAAATATTACAGGATAGTAAATTAATGGATAATATGAAAAATTAATGCATGTAATCTAGTATAGCAATTGAATGTACACTCTTAAATAACATTACAAATAAAAATGTATTTATAACTGATAATACATGGTATGAAATCATTCTTTAAGTGTGAAAAGCATTATATCGTCCTACATTCAGTGCTAAGAAAACAGACACTAAACAAAATCTTATTGGGGATCGATAATGCAAGGTTGTTTGAACATGTGTTTGAAGGTGTTCCCAGAGCTTGCCATTCCCAATAATCTGTCCAACTGATTCTATGCTATAATTGAAGAAACGAGGGGCTATCAGGCGCGGATCTACGGGGGGTTTAGGGGTTCAAACCCCCCCCCCCCCCCTTGGGCGGCCCCAAAAAAAAAAAAAAAAAAAAAAAAGAAAGAAAGAAAAAAAAAAAAAAAAAAGAACGCACGCTGGAGAGAAACCCTTTCAAGTGCAAATATTGTGAGAAGATATTCAACTCATCTGGTAACTTAACCAAACACATGATAAAAAGGCTGGATATAACTGTGTATTAAGCTCTTACTTGATTTAAAAAGACGTTATCATGCACTGCTTTTTATGGTCTCCATTGTGTTAATAGATGCCAGGAAAACATCACTTACGGGTTCAAATAAACACCCCAAAAAAAATCGGCTCGCCGCTACGCGGCTCGTGGACGATGCTCTGCATCGTCATTATTTTGGTCAAACCCCCCTTAGCAAAAAGCTAGATCCGCCCCTGGCTATGTTTAAAGCGTTCTGTTATATACTTTGGCACAGAAAGTAAACCTTCAACTGCCTGCCTCGTAATATGCTGATGAATGTCACTTACTTTAATCAAACGTTCTTGTCAATAGGATGGTGCCAAATGATATGTGCATTTATACATCATATTAACACGCTGAAATTCAAACCGTTTCTCAATTGGCATCCATTTCAGATTGCTAATCAATTCACTGGATGGAGTCTCGTAATTTTTGTTTGAAATTATTCTAGCAGGTCGTTTTAGAACTTTCTTGAGTTTATCCGTTGTTCCTAATACCGATTTGACCACACAGAGGAACAATAATCAAAGTGAGGCAATACGAGTGCATTATACAGCAACTTCATTTAGTTTAAAAATGTTATTGGTAAATAGTCCTTAGCTCGTTTTATTACACTGATATTTCTTTGCGTTACTTTTGTTACTTTGTCAACGTGCTTGGACCAATTCAATTCTTCATCAATTAATATACCAAGACATTTGACGACGTTAATTCTTTTCAATGCCTTTCCATTTAAAGAAACGTTAAAAGTTGTTATTTTATTCAAATTTGCACGCGAAGCTACGACCATGACGCACGTTTTTTTCTGTGTTTAGTACAAGGTGGTTTTGATTAATCCATACCATTAATTCTTGCAAGGCGAAATAAAGTTTTTGTTCAACCTCAGCTACGCTACTTCCACTTACGGTTAAAGTGGTATCGTCTGCATACATATCCACATTACCACCAGATAAACTAT